CCCCCCCCCCCCCCCGACCGCATGTACAGTTTATGCTCACTACTCACAGACAATTAAGACACTCAACAGCCCCGTTTGTCCCCTCATTCTTAACAATGGCGAATGTCTGCTGGCAATCTTTTCATTTTAAAGTAGCTCTCCACCAGATGAGGTCGGAGCCCTGCTCATTATTAATGCTGTCTGTCCACAAAGATAAGAACTACTTATTGTATTATCAGCTTTATCTAGTAAAAGGGAAGTAGTGTGTGTGTGTGTGTGTGTGTGTGTCTGTGAAGCAGAACAGAATATATATTCCTGCAGCAGAAAGGTGGATGCACAAAAATAACAAATACTAGCCAAGCGTTACACACACTTCCTTTGTGAAAACGTGCGAGACTACAATGAAATGAACTGTCACAGTCGGAAGATGAATATTTCTGTATATTTTTGAAAATAAGCTGCGCCAGTGTGCTTGAGACTAAATGGGATTATAATAGGCAGGCCACTTAGGTTATTCTCTAGTACCGAAATGTATGTTCCTAGTAATTATTAACAACATAGGAACGGGATGTTCTTCTTGTGGCATTTGATGATAATGACAGTATTCTTAACACTGTGGAGGCATTTTTTCTATTAGCATAAGCATATAATATATAATAATAAGCACCAACAGTCGAAAGCATCCAAGCATTTGGAGTTTGATGGCGTACGGGGAAATCTCTCAATCAGACAGAGAGCGGTAAACGGAAGCTCTTGATGACGCTTGAAGTGTGAACTTGATTCGCCTTTATTTGAAGACTGAAACTGCAGTCTGCTGGGAGACGATGGCACCGTCCTGACCGCAATTGAAATGACTTCAGAGAACTGTTGTGTGGCAAGTAATGAGGCTAACGCTAAAGCAACACGGCAGCTTCTCTCAGGCAGAGAGTGAATGAAAAAGACTCCGCATGAAACAAAATAAACTTCATGAAACAGACAGACACTCAGTTCATAGTTTTCATAGGTACACCCAGGTAATACGAATGCAGTTTAATACGACAGCCCAGCAGTACATGCTACCTAAAGTAGGAGTACATTTTCAGTTTTGTTGAAACTCTTTATAGTGATGGGACTGATTGTCATTTTGGAGAATTGTATTGCATTATACTTTTTTTCCATCTTGTTGCTACATATGTTCTATATACTACTTGTTTTATGTTACATATTCTTCTAATGCTTTTGTTTTGGTGAGACAAATTCCATTTTGGACAATTAAGTTTAATTCTGTATCATTCTAATCAATTAGTTTATCAACAGAAAATGTATCTGCAACATATGCCCAATTAGGTTTTCGGGCAAAAATGTTGCTCAGGATTCTTAAACGTGAGGATTTGATGGTTTGTTTTTTTATCATAAGTTGGATAGCCTCGGGGATTGGACTGTAGGTTGAATGAAAGAAGCTATTTGAACGGTGGGAAATTGCAGACATTTATTTTTTACTAATTAGTGACATTTTATCGACAGAATGGTTCATTGAATTAATAATCGCCAGAATGATCAGCAATGAAAATAATTGTTACTTCATTATCACACTGACTGAGAACATTTTACACGACCAATCAATAGAATGGTTACAAATTTTTTTTACAAACACTGCTCGCATCAGCAATGTGTTAAATAATCCTAAAAGGCAGACATAGTGAACAAACAATAGTCAGATATGGAAACAATGACTTTTTCAACACACGGACCAACATTGTTTCCTAAAACACTTTGCTTTCATTTACTTACGTGCCATGATCCCCTGGTTGACCAACTCCTCCCTGGACCTTCTCTGCTGTAGCTTCAGCTGGAGAACTGAACGCCAACATAGAGACAGGAAGCAGAAGACGCACAAGTCAGTCACTGCAGAACGAGAGAGCGTGATCAAACCGAACATACATCATTTCTATCTCAGTTCCCAGCCACAGAAAGCCACAAAGGTAGCAATATTACTCACAGCCTAGGTGCAAGTACAAAAAACATTAAAGAAAGGTTTTCTGTATCTGAATACAAGTAATAATTGTGACATCTAAGGCTGTCTACAGAGGTTTTTATTACCCTGTTAGCTGCTGATAAGCAGAATTAGTTATCTGTGGTCGTGTGTGAGAAGACAACCAAAGGTTATGCGACACACTACGGGGGAAAGGAAAACACACAAACATGAACACACCAAGAAACCACGGCGCAGACGCACCAACAGTTTCCTGTTTCACGTATTTGGTTACATAGCAGCACACACACACACACACACTGCTGCATGTGTCGCATCTCATCACCACAGAAGACTGTGACCAAGATCGATACGAGGAAAGAGATTTACATGCACACGTTGACTGTGAATTCATTCATCCAGATGTTTTTTTATTTTCAATTATTTCACATACATGTGTGATTCAGTCTTTCCATTCAGGTGCCCCGGAGGCTCATATACCGACACGGAACTATCATTAAAACTCCTCGAGCTAACTGGCATTTGCATTTTGGGGTCACGGCTCCGCGTTCACACGCTCAGAGGAGCTATCAAACTCGCTCTGACTCACCACGTTCTGAGCCAACCTTGCATGCTCTCAGGCGAAAAAAAATGAAAGTCAGCAAAAAGTTTGAGGAGCGAACTTCCCAAATGAAAATATAAAATTGTCAGGAAATGATCTTCTGCAGATCGGAAGCTGCTGCATATCTGGGTCATGAATTCAGCATTAAATAAAAAAAAAAAAAAAGCAGAAGCCTCTTTTAGCCCACACCCTGACCATCTGCAGTGACAGTATTAGCTCACACCTTTGCAGTGCAGAGCTGTGGCTGAGGTGTTGCAACGTGGGTCACAGGTTGAGGCAACTACCAGTAATAAGATAGTACTTTGAATACAAACTGAATTCTGTCAATATAATATAATTGCATACCAGATCCTCATTCCCTCAACATGCACACTTATGTGTGAAATTCCCTCCTCTTTTGTCGGGAACGTACACTAAACCCTCATCGCTGCGTCATTCCGTCTGATCAGAGCTGATTTGTGAAAGGACAAATCCATAAAGTCAAAATTTACTGCTGACACTCGTGTGCTGACGCCAATCACCTCAATGACATTCAAGCTGTAGCTCAACTTTCCTCAGCACAGCGTTCCTGCAACACGGGCTGCGACCCCGCATGGGGCCACTTGATCAGCAGTCAGGTTAACTTCATAAAACCAGCAAACTAATTATTGCATATGATTTGTACATGATATGCATCTAAAAAAAGGAGGATCGCGGGCCAGAAAAGTGCCTTCGGTACATTTAGCAAATAACTCACCAAACTGCTGTAATTATACAACTCAGAGGACATATAAACAACACTTTTATAAAGCAACATATAAAACACATACATAACACCAGTGCTTCCATATGATATCATGTGCTGTTCTAAATTCCTTTTTGGCCACTTGGGAGCAACGTTAGTTTTGATTTGGAGTCGTGTTTCTGGCCAGCTGCTGATGGAAGTCCAACATTGACTCCACTTTTAGCTCTGTTTTGGTCTCTGTTGTGGAAAAGTCTGGCTCTGAAGCTGCTAAATGCTGCACTGTGTTCGTACAATGGCTTTTTCAGCAGCAAAAGGGGCTTTTTTTTTTGTAGATAACAGCTCCATTCTGCAGCCAAAAACAATATAGGCAGTGGTTTGAGTGAAACTAAACAGTAAAGTTGAGCGATAATTCTGTGGGTTCGACACTACGCGCGATGAAGGATAACTGATCGGTCAGTTACATTAAACCGATCATAACATGAATGTGGAGGAATGGCTGTATTGTTGTGCCTATATGCCGTGAACTGCATCCAAAAGTCTTTCTCTTGAACCTCTTGCCATCTCTACACAAAGAGACATTAACCCCCATACATCAAAACATGACTTTCTTCTTCTGTGTTGGTCTGCTCCGTCATTAATTCCCCTTAACTTGCACATGCTCAAACAACTTCAGACGAGCGCGCTAATCTTTCTCATGCATCTGCCGCTCTTGTTTCCCTTTTTCAGTTATCTCAAGTCCACGTAGCTGTACGCTCCAAATTCTACATTCTATGTTTTTCCACCCAGTAGAAAAAGCTCTGTTTGGTAATATGGAAACACAAAAAAAACACTTGTTTTCGAGGCAGATGATTTGTGCCAGGAGGTGACAGGCAAGTGATGCGATGTGCTGATACAGACTCTATTCTGGGAAAGTGCGCTCATTGCTCAAATGCCACCGCATAACGGTGAGTGCACCCTCGCTCAACAACAACCTAATGCAGACAAGATCAATTCCAATAATCGCACACGAGGGCCTTGTACAGGGAGCAACGTAAACAACGCAAACGCCGTATGAAAAAGAACGTGAACTCTGACTTCAGAATTACAATTAATGCTTGAATGCCAACGCTCGTTTGTCATTTGATTTCAAAGCAAGTTGAAACGGAGTTTTCTCCAAATGATCTCTGGCCAACCTGCAGCGGCTTTTCCCGAAACTAAAAATCAAACTTATTTAGTATATTATTTAGTAAGACAACCGTCTACTACTACAACTATCAGCGTCATCTTTCAAAACACTGCTTCAAATGGATTTCAAGCACATTTCTACTGGAGTTTGTTAAACTTTGTAGATTTGTTGTCTGTTAGCTTGTACTTCTTTATCTGCCTGTTTCTGAACTAGAATTAGTGTTTCTGTCAATTTGTCTTCATAATTCAGAACGGCACTTTCTGTTCTTCGTACATCTCTCTCTCTCTCTCTCTCTCTCTCTCTCTCTCTCTCTCTCTCTCT